GGCTCACTGAAAGCATGGGAGTCGACGTTGTCAGCATATTGCGCGATGGAGAAAAGGGAATGAATAATAAAAGAGTGTAAAAACGAGAAGGCACGACAGATATACTTCGAGTGTGAGCGCGCCCATTTCCTGTCCCAACTTCCTACGCTAGCTGCGACGAATTACGCGCGCAATGCAGCGACTACCCGGTCATTGAAAAGGCGCACGAAGAAGGGCATCATACTGGACAAAATAAAGAAAATGCGAGGCAGCGAAGAGGACAAACGCTGACACGAGCGATCCGGTGGAGCAACAGTAAGAACGTCACATTTGTCTTTTCGTGTTCACGAAAAGAAATTAGCAGCTTCTCTGAACCTGCTCACTTTAGTACAACTAGATAATCTAAATATAGGTGTGATCTTTTCGTTTTTTATTGTTTTGGGAGCTCGTTGAAGTGGTAAAGTATGCAACTTCAACGTCTTAATTTCTTGACGTGGCAAACCCGTCAAAACAACCTCGACTCCGCGGCATATAGATGTGTTTTAATATATGTAAGTTTCTTGTCAACTAAATATAAAGACACCTTCACGTAAGACGTTAGAGTTTACATTTCGTAACGTGTCCAATTAGTTCACTTCATGAATATATTCACATATCCAGCAGCTCAAACAAGTATTGTTATCATTGCTGTGATGCGTCTGAAGGACTATTTGTAGGCATGTTGAAGCGGGTATCGTAAAGAGAAACATAGATACAAGAGTAAAAGAAGTCATTGCGTAGCTTGCATTTAGCGTTAATATTATCACTTGAATTTTTATTTATCTAGTAGCCCCGATAACGTATGATACGTTTAGCGTTCAACAAAGGGTGCCTGTATTTTGCAGAATGTTTAGCTGTATTCTTAAAAGAGTAAAGTAGGTGAAAGCTGAGGTGGGTCCACGTAATGACCAGCCTTACGCGGTAGTGACAATTGGTAAGTTATTCCGCATCCCTGGCTAAGTTAAGCCGTTAAAGATTATTAAGAGAACACAGGAGCTCGTCCCGCCGCGATGACTACATATCGTGAGCCGGTAGCATCCCGGAATTTCTGCAAGACATGGTTGTTGAGAGCAACGAGAAAGGAAATATCTTAGCGCCACAACAATGGAGGAAATTAAGTGAATGTAAATATGACATGATATGAACATACGTAACCTGACTTAAGCATCGGCGAGATTTCAAAAGCAAAGACGTTATTCACTTTAAAATCTTCTTCAATGTAGATCCTACTCCATCTCTAGTGCCGCACAATTTTTGCGTGGGCGCCCGCGGGAGCTCTGTCCCTTTTTGCGACCGGATATTCCTCGATTGACAAGTGTCTGACGTCCATTTAGACCCATAGTCCCTCAGCATTCCATCGCGTAGATTGTGTGTACACAAGCTCCACGCTTCATCGAAAAGAAACAAGGGCGCTTACCCGAGCTCATGTCAATCAACCACCCTTCGAAGGCATACTAAGCGTTTCCCTTGCAGCAGTCAATTTGCTCAGCCGGGCTGTAACGGGTAAGTCCTCAACGTTGCGTCAGCGACCCTCATCCTTTAAACGCGGGCACGGCTTGCTAATAACACGGAATGTATCCAAAGGTTCGGCCTCCGTCGTGGTAGCTAGCAAAAATGCGATACTGTTCCGAGACTGGGGGGGAGGGGGTAGCTCATGCTAAGCCCACCCGCGACATCGCCCGTGGTCGACGAACCAACCGAGAATCTGGCTCCGGGGACACGGCAAATGGCCTAGCGGTGACAGCTTCACTTCGACACAGAGTAAGTAGGTGGGGGAGTAGGGCGCCGACCTTCAGCTTTCTGCGTGACATCTCTCTTAACCGCTGCATTGTACGTCTCGCATGGATTGTTCGTTGTCGCAAAACTATTCGGCGTATGAAAAGATTGCCAACGCCACACCCTCTCGTTCAACCAGATCTTTGAGAAATAGGAAGAAAATTTCGCCGGCTCCGGAGTTTTTGACCATCTCGCTTGAGCTTCTCCTAGCTTCTAGCTTTAGACCACCTCATCCATCGATAAATGGAGCTCATGAATGTATTATATGACAGAGGAGGCCGCCACAGACCCCAACGAGCGAGTTTTCTCGTATACCTTCTTTGCCACATGAAAGTAGCACATCAGTCATACAACCCCCCCCCTTGCCCACACGGCGTTCACCGCGTTCCATTGGACTGCGTCAGCATCTCCCATCACATAACGCTCCCGGAGACATTTACCAACTATGGTTTGGTACATCTTCCACACGAGCACAAGCCCCTCGGTGTAGTGTAGTTGCTGCTGTTGCGAGACAATAAATATTGCCAACAAATGAAATCATCTTACGCTGTCCGAGATCCCGACAACGATAACCGAATACCCTACTTGCGTGAGCTTGTAGGTCGCGTCCAAGTGAAAAATGAAAGACTCTGGATCACGGTCGGCACGGCGTAGGAGTTTCTTCGAGCTAACACCGACCACAAACGGATCAGCGTCACTGCCATTGCCAGTGATTGGTTTGCCGTCTGTATCACTGCGGCTCGTGAATGTGAGCGGAGCTGCTTCATCTTACTGTCCTGTAAACCCTGAGGCCTTGATTTTTCTGCGTACGGAGTTCAGGAGGTCACTTCCCCCAATCCATCCCGTAATATGGTGATGCGCAAAACGCTGCACGTTTGATAGATAGGATGCAGTCGCCTCGGTCAGGCTGAAACGCTGAATAAGTGCATTATAGATGCGCTTGGGCTTCATTCCAAGTCCTTCACCACCTCCTTCATTGGTGGGGTCAGTACCAGCTTGCGTGACGAGCGTGCTGGAGTGGCATGGGTGTAATGGTAGATTTCTTTACATAAGTAGGTGCATCGGCACACGACTAGCGTGTGCTGAAATGCTGACATGTCATTGGCTGATATATGGAGAACCAGACCCATTATTAGCCAATTGGACTGACGTGTAATTGAGTGGCCAGGGCTGTGGCCTTGGTCCTAAAATAAAGTCAGAGTTGATTTTTCCTTAAACCTAAGACTCAGTCCTCCTATTGCGAGCTTCCTCAACACTATAGAGTAAGCAAGTAACGGAGTAAATACCTGGTTCGTTTCAATGGGTATATGCCTCCTCGACCGTCACGAAGCCTTGCTCTTGACAGGACATGACCCGGGCTCGCCACGGACACTCTTGTGCCGACGTTACGTCAGCGCAAGCCTTGCATGCGCAAAGCAGGCGCTGAAATCTCATGAGATGCGGAGCAGGGTCCATGCATACGGAGCAGGGGGCCAGCTCACTCTTCGCCACCCTAGTCTACTTAAACCATCCACAAGGTTTGCTGTCTAGACGCATGGCATTGTTGAGGCGAGAAGCTGCCAGGGGTGTCGAATGGATATTTCAAAAGGAAGGAGCTGGAAGAATTAGCTTGATGCAGTTGGTTGGAAAATGATCTTGCCTACCCCCCCCCCCCTCGCTGGGGAAGTGCGCTGGTTGGACGATATTTCTGTGACGATCATGTTGCGGATTGGGCAGAATTAGCGAGTGAATTATGGTTGGTGCAGGACGTACTATTGCGGTGGTCAGTCTTTTAAAAAATTGGTGATGCTAGTGATATTACTGTGCTAGCCGTGCTTTAGCAGTGCTGATGATATAGTTTTGGTGTTTTTGTTTTTATTATTGGTGAAAACAGTACGTCCTGGTCTATCACTGTGCATGTGCCTCGTGATAATGATTTGTTTAAATCCTTCAAGTCAGTAGCTCCCGATTTTTTCTATGATTTGCTCTAAGCCCGGAGTGGACCTGCTGAGAGCAAATACGAAGAAATATCGACGATATAATGACCACCAAGGAAAAGGTGGCTGACCGACCACTTGGAGATCCTGCCATCGCCACCAAGCAAAAGAGCCAAGTGAGTCATCCTATTCGTCCGTACACGCCCCACGATATCCAGAACGATCCTCTCTAAGCAAAGCCTACCAGGGAAGAAGGGGCGTCAGCCAAAGCGAGGAAAAGTGCGCCACTAGCTCATCACCTAACCAAAAATCAATTTTTATTTTGCGTCCTCAATTGTCGTGGGGTACAGTATACTTTAAATTTTGTTTTGACATTTAGACATTGTCGATTAGAAGCATTTTGGAAGCACTTGGACACTAGTAAAGAAATGGTTTGCCTACTCGTGTTCCACGTATTCAGTAGCAGCAGTCTTGATCTTCTTGGCGTAGGGAGGCGTCAGCTTCTACTGAGCCGACGACCTGATCCTCTTTCTCCTATGATCATGTTTTTTTGGCCGCCGAAGCCAAAGTTGTACACACTTAGAACTAGCTTATTTTGAGACTATTACGAGATTCCTCGGCATAGTTTATACCTTAACGGTCCCGAAAAATTGGATTTTGGGGTCAACATAGAGCAAAAGTTTTAGCGACCAGGAAGTGAGCTCAATAAAAAGCTAAAACGTCCCTCTTTTGATTAGTGTACCGGTACCTAAATTGCGATTTGTACTTTGGCTGATAAGTATTTTTTTGTCTCGACGATCTTACTCTGGCGTACAAGGATATCCAATAATACTATTAGCTCTTCCACCCTCACTGTTACGTAACTATACATGATAGTCTTCTGTTTAAGAGTTGTTGGAACCATGGACTGATTCGCGGTTCTTACCTGGACAAGTTGTGCACTCATGAAGTCACACCGATCTTCTCTGCACGTTGTATACGTTAACCCACTATGTCGCTCGCAAATGCGGGGCGCTTTGGGAATAGCTGGCTAAAAAGTATCGAGAGTTGCTGAAACGGCAGTAAAAAGCATAAAAGAAGAAAAGAGAAACAGAAACTACATACCATAACAAAGATTTTCCGGGGACCAAACAAATACTTGAGCTGTGTAGGTTAAATGAACAAGAACTTCTAAAAAAACTATCCCCAAAGGGTTAAATATAAAGGAAACATTCAAATAAAAACAAACACCTAGTTCTTAGGTAAGGGGGGGGGGGAACCCAGCTCAACCTACTTCATTCCCAGTAGCATTTATGCACTGTCACTGATAAGGTCGGTCATCGCCATCTCCTTGACATTCTTCGAGTTTGGGCGGGACTTGGACTCGTTGGCGTTCACAGTATTCGGGTCGACTTCAGTATCCGGATCCAGAGTCTCTGGAGCTGGCCCTCCGAGTAAAATCTGGGCGCAACGTGCTTGGAAGCGTCGACAGTAAGCAATCGGTGCGACGGCCGAGATCCCACGCGCAGACTTGCCCAGCAGCACTTTTCCGGCCTTTTCAAACTGTTTCTCCCAGTCCCATTGCTGGAGAATGTCAATGATGCCCACAAAGTACACTTCCTTCTCTCCCAAAGGCGCAAGGTTCACGCCGCTATTGGGGCCATCCAAGTGCAACTCGCGGTTGAAAACTTCGTCAAAGTCGGTCGAAATGCCACTATTTCCACTCGCATTACCCTGTCGAAAGTGGCACTTGTGGATGCCAATGAGCAACGAGTAGTCCATGATCCCAAGATCTCGTAAGAACTCACAGTCGGAAACTAGCTGAGCGTGTAGATGAACCGCAATGTGTCGAGGTAATTGCAGCGAGCGTTCCAAGTCCAAGTCTTTCAAGACGATGTCGGGACGATGGACATGGAAAGGGAACTGCGGGACGCTGTGGTCATCCGTCGAGACGCGGTCATCATCCGTGTCCATGGGCGAGTCCCCTTCGTCGAAAATATACGTCGCGTCACACTCCGCACACGTGACGCGATCACCGCGTTGAGGACGACGCGCACGACGATCCACCCACGAGCCTTTGACGTCGTATTTCTCCGTGATCGTGGCCGTGTGACGCTCGCTATGCAGCACGTTCGACATGACGGCGAAGTAGAAGTTGCGACCGTAAAGACGAACGCGATGGCAGCCAAAGAACCGGATTAGACGCGAGTGAGGGTTGGCTGTCAGGTAGCGCGCGTACGCTGGCGCCATATCCACCAAAGCTCGACATTCCTTCTCCTTCAAACTCTTGACCAGCAGCGAGTTATCTCCCGAGAAGAACATGAACGCGCCACTTGATCCCGCGCTTACTCGCTCCTTTGCTGTGGTTCGGAAGCTCGCCAAGTATTTTTCATCCGACAATCCGAATGCCAGTCGGATCGCTCTGAACTCACGTGGAGCATAGTCCACAAACACTTTGGGTTTCGGATCGTCCGGAAGGAATTCCCGAGTCACCGCGGTACTCGAGGAATCGGCAGGTTCCGTACTGCCACTTCGACTTCGGAACACACCTCGTCCTTGACTGAAAGCGGACGTGGCAGTGCGACGCAAGCCGGCGAACACGGCGGAGCGTGTGGATCTCGTTTCCGCGGGCTCGTCGACTGAAGATCTGGTGCTTTGCAGCTCAATCTCCTGCTCGAACAACTCGAAAGGGACTTGAGAGACCGGATACAACGAGAACCTGCCTGGCTGCTGGAACGTGCGGAACATGACGCTACTCGCTGTCAGACTGAGTCGCGCGCTTGGGTTCTCTTGACTCTGACTGTGCTGGCGATGAGGTTGACGCCAGATACTCGAGTATTCCAGCGTGGAGGCCGCCGTGAACGACGTCGGACGCGGCCTGTACACTCGGTCGTCCTCGAACGTCGCTACCTGAAGCGATCGACGCAGAGACGCGGCGGGAAGTGACACGCGCGACTCGCAATACGCTCGAGGAGACGAGAGGATCGTCACGTTCTGCACGTGTGAAATGAACGAGCTGTTGACGAGTGTCGAGTCCCGTTCGGCGCCTACAAACAGCGTCGTCTCCACCAATCCAGCGTCGCGATCTCGTGTATTGGCGACGTTCTCTTCTCCCGTGACGGCTCCGGACTCTGCGGAAGATCGTGCGCGCTCGGCCGAGCGAATGATGGCCTTGGTGATGCCACAGACCGTGTAATAAATAATCTCGCGCTGCAGTGTTTCGTTGTTCTGCGAGGCCTCGTACGACTCCATGGTGGACGCTTCGTACGACGAGGAGGACGAGCGACTCGATCGAGCCACCGCCGCTGGTTCTAACACGGATGAGAATGTTGGTAAAGAGTGTGGGTCGTGTGGCCGGACGGCGTTGCTCTCTCGCACGCTTTCGTGCGCCTCAAAGTTCGACAGAGTCGATGACGGCGACAGCATGGGCGTCTCGTGTGGAGCCAGCACTCCTGCCTCCATGGACACGACTGTTTCAGACAGGATCGCGGCCTGGTTCGCTCTCGGCGCCCCGATATCTCGGTTACAAGACCCGGATATGGACGCGGACTGGGACGATCCTGACGCGGACTGTCCTAACGACGGACTGTCGTCGCTGTCTTTGCATTGATGCAGACCACAGAGCACGAGGCCGAATGCACAGCAAGGCTTATTGACACTGAGCCACACGACGCCAGTGACGAAGCCTTTGCCCGTTAGTACAAAGTGGAACAAGGCGTTCAAAATGTTCATCCCTCCGTCTGTGGGCTGACTGGCGCTTTGCACGTGTACGTAGCTTAGAGCGCTCGCATTGGAGCGATAGACGAAGAAAACGACCAAGAGAACGAGCCACATGGCGTTGAGGGCGTGTACGTAGATGGCCATCCGCTTCATAAGGCGACGACGAGCCTTCAGAGCGATGATCGTGCCGCTATTGGAGCGCCACCAGCCCACGACGAGACTCAGCTGAGCAGCGACGACTACAAACACGACGATAGCGACTAACAAGCCCCAGAACTCGAGATTCAGCGTCTGCCATTGCGCCAATCGGCGTGTTCGCAGAGCTACAGACTTGCCAGCGTCCGTCGGCAACAACGGCAAGATCAATGCCACCATGCGACAAACTTGTACGTCAGTGAGTGGGGGTTGGTCTTGCGAATGACTCGTGAAAAGTATCAACGGGGTTGCCACACTGGCAATTAACGAGAGACCCCAGACGACCACGTGATAGAGCACGAGTTGCCTCTTGTAGCTGGCAAAAGGGTTCGAGACCGACACAAAGAGATGCAGAATTGCCGCCCCAAACCACCCCACCCCTGCTAGCAACAGAAACATCTCTAGACCTGCAGAGACGCTGCACATGGCCATCCCCATTGGACGGCAACTTCCGTCCTCTGCACTACACAACGTGAGGACGTGGACGAGCGTCAGCGTCGCCAGGCCAAACTCACTCAGCGCCACAAACGCCAGCAGCTCGTTGGGTCTCCTCCTCATTCGCCGTCGTCTTAGAAACGACACGAGCACTAGCAGCGTCGACAGCAGACTCAAGCCGGCCCCCAATACGATCGGCGCCAACGTCTCCACTTGCTTTGGAGCTGCGAAAGTTAATGCGAAAACGCCGAGAAAGAGGGCGACGGCGCCGACCCAGAAGAGGATTTTCCTCCAGCGTCGTCGCTGTCGTCGCCAGTTCACTAGTCGGACGGGAAGTTCCGTTTTCTCCTCGTTCTCGACGAGTTGCTCGCGTTGGATTTGTGTCGTAGAAGTTGCCAGTTGCAGTTGCACGTGGCTGGATGTTCTCCAGTCCATGGACGTCGAGGCCGACACTGAGACGCGACCGTTGGCCCCTAAGATTGCCGATAGAGCGTGCGAGTGACTGCGACTACGTGCCACCTCGTCCGCTAGCAAGTCGAACTCTTGCGTACTCGTTCGTGTAGGCGTGGAGATGGCCTGATACTGCGGACTGGTGCAGTTGGAGTCGCTGGTTGGTGCGGGACTTGGAGGACGCAGCGCTCGTCGAGGCGCTGGCATCCTGCAAGTAAGAGGCCTGCGAAATAGAGACGCAATAAAGCGTTAGAGTTTGGAGCGATTAGAGATCGAATCTGGCGTTGCCATTCGACTGGTGGCGCACCGATGGAGCGTTGCGGACTGGGCAGCTGTTGGGGGCCCCCCGGATGTCCTGCAGCTTATTTGCCTCTGCCTTTAGGTACGATATAAATACTGGAGAAATCCTCAACCACGCAACGGGACGTTGCGGATTAGTTACGAGCCTTTTGACGTCCCCAGCGCTAGTGGCTTATTGAGCTTTCTGCAACTTTTCTAACGGCTTTCCGCATAGAGTGCCGTGAGGTGTCCGGACTTACCCTTTTGGTCTCGGCAAGTTGCAGGCATCATCTTTTCACGTGATGATTGGCTGTGAGAATGGATTCAGAACCTATTTAGACCAATCATAGAGTTTTGAAACCGTATTTGCTTAACCTCATAGTCGTACGACTACTTGAGTAACGATGGCTCTACGGCCTTTCGCGCAACAACATTTACCTGTGGCAACAAATTACGAGCATGGGAGCCGCCAGCAGGAAGTGTCTTGAGTCAGGATTTTACTGCTTTCACCGTTTTTGGAATCAAGCTGCTTGGTCATTGTCAGTCACGGCAACAGCGCTCTCTAAAACGGCTGCTAACGACGTTGCCGAAAGCTGGCTGTCCAACAGTGTGCGAGCCATTACCACAATCGATGGGTGTGCATTGTGAGGTCTATTGGAGTATGAGCAGCCACGCGCGGGCGATTCATGCCGGATCTTCTAGATCCAGTCTGGACTGCTCCCACGGTGCTGCCTCGTCCAATTCGCCACCGAAAAAGCGTGGCATTGAGCTGCAACTACCGGTAGTATAATAGCTGCCATTTACACTAGATCTGTCCTAGCAAGCGCTGAGGATCGCTGCAGTGGTTTTGCTAAAGCCGAAGGCGTTGTGGCTGCGTCCGTTTTGGCTACAGTTGCTCGGGGAAAGCTGTTGTGACTAGTGGGGGCGATGATGCCAAGGAGTCACAGCGAAGACTAAGTTGCTGACGAAACCGTGCGTCATATCCCAAACCGATTAATAAAAAAAGATGTGGACGCAAAACCTGTACGAGCCCCGGCATAATCCACCTTCTCTTTATATTTCACTCACTAGGTTCTGCCTGTCTTATCTCCCAGCGGAGGCGTAGGGCGAAGTGGAAGCTCGAGCTGCTCGTCGTCCTCAAAGTTGAGCGGGGGCCTGCAAGTGTCCAATGGGGTTTTGCTGTCAGCAAATCCTTCAACATGCTCTTCAACTTGATGAAGTTGCATTACGTACAGAAAATCGGTGAACTCTTGTCCGGGGAGGTACTTAGCTGACACTTGCCGTCGCGCTTCTAGATCGCTACCATGCATGACGAGCGCCTTGACTTTCTCCTTGGACGTCACTTGCTCATCGTCCAGCTTTTCTAGCTGCAACAGCCTTCGCAGAACTCGAGCACGATAAAATACGCGCGAGACTTGAGTCTCTACTAGCGGGTTGCCGTCAAGTGCAATTTCCCCCAGATACCGCAGATTTGCCAAACAATTGAGCTCGTTGATATCTGCTACGTTGTTACACGCGAGATCTAATCGCTGCAATCGAACGCAATCCTGTTACCAATATGTGTTAGTTAGTGTTACAAACTAATATATCAACAATAAAGCAGCCACGCACCCCGAGACTTGACAACGTTCTGAGCTGATTGTGAGCTACATTTAAGTGTGCCAATCGAGGGAGAAAGGTCACTCCAGAATCAGTAGCCGTGAGCTGGTTGTGACCCAGCAGCAGCGTCTCTAACGCCTGCAGTCCACGCGACGAATCCTCATCGCCCACCAATCCACGCATGGACGTCAAGCGATTGTGTGAGAGGTCTAGTAGTCGCAAGAATCGGAGCTGACTGACACCCGAGATCTCCTCAATAGCGTTCTGAGCAAGTCGCAGTTCCAGCAGGAATGGATGTGTATATGCGAGCTCATGACGTGGCATAAAGACGATCTGGTTCTTGTCAAGTGTGGCTTTGCGTAGGATCGAGCCAATCCAGCGAGCTCCATCCACCCAAGCGTTATCCGGACAGCACTTTGGGACTTTAAAGTCTAGCACCTCCGTGAGCTGGTTCTCAGCAGCATCCAGCGTCAGCAGCAATGGAATATACTGTAGAGGAGACAAGGAGTGGAGCTCGTTTTGTCTACACACCAAGTGCTACGGATACCGAACAGAGGAAATTATTGTAGCGATAAGAAACTGCACTCGATAGGATCAACGTACCTGAATGTGCGGAAACTCACGAATAACATCGATGTCCGAGAGATACAAATCCGTGAGCGTCGCTGTCGTGTAAATATGCGCTTGTGTGAATGGATTGCGTCCCAGGACACTGAGGTGTTTTGTGACCTGCTCTCGTCTAAGGGGGCTTGGCTCACTGCTCTCGATGGCTACCGTTGTCTCAACTTCGTTCTGCTGCTTACTCGGATCAGCCTTATCGAGCATTGAGATCATCTCATCCTCCGTCATGAATACTGTACTCCTTTGTTGCCGAGAAGCCGCGGATCGGCGTTTCGGATTGACAAAACTAAACTAAAGGCATCATTTTCTTATGGCAACCAACTCCACGTAATTTCACGAGGAAAAAAAAAAAGCAAAACTATCATATTCACAGAAAGTCAATGTGAAGAAACTACTGAAGAGATCCACGTTGAATGCTTAGAAACGGAGGTAGAAGATGGTCTACAAACGGGCACTGCAGTCTGGCGTGGACACCAACACCGACACATCGCGACACGAGCGATCACAACTGTCCATGGGGCTCTTGGCCTCCATATCGAGAGACTTCTTCCTCTGCTGCACAACGTAGATGAAGCCACCGGAAGCGAGACCAGCCACACAGCCACCGATCACGAAAATGTAGGTGAGTGATGAGGTGCTGTTGTCCGAAGACTTGGTCGTCACCTCCACAGCTCCGTTCGAGTCGTTAGAGTTCGTAGCTGTCGTCTTGCCAGTAGTTTGCACAGTAGAATCCTTTGAAGCCTTGATCGACTTGGTAGCGTCACCAGTAGTCTCAGCACCTGCGTTGCCTGCTGATCCGGCACTAGCGCTGTTACTGGCACCACTCAGTGTGAAGTTACTAGCGTAGTTCTGAGACTGAACCTGAATTCCAATGCTACTCGAGGCTGCATTCAAGTTCGAGTCCGGCGCTTCCGTTGGCGTCGGAGTCGGTGTGGCTGTGGTTGGCGCTAAAGTAGCCGTAGTGGGTGTGGGAGCTGCCGTCGTGGCCGTCAGCGTGTTTGATGTGCTGGAGGTCGTCGTGCTGCTGGTGCCACTACCACCGGGACAGAACGTGACCTCAAAACTCGTCCCTTTCGGACATGTGTGCGTCTTGGTGTCGTCGCTTGGGTACTGGTAGGCATCCGCGCATCCGTCAGCCTCGCAAGTCAGCACCTCGCACGTACCTTCGCCGAGGTTATCCTGCGGAGTGATTTGCAAGGGTGTATTGAAGCCCGTCTTGCCAGTCTGGGCCTGGCAGGCGCTCAAGCTCATACAACTGCCTGGATCAGGCGAGATGATGCTAATGTCGTACCAGGGGGTCCCGTCCGAGTCCACAGATATCTCAGCCACTACAACAAATCAATGAAGGATGAAGTCAGCACCAATATCCGGCGAGCTCATCCGGATGAAACTTAAATGGCAACGTACGAGTAGCTTCATCGGACACGCCGTTGCGGAACATGCCCACGTATCCGTTGGCCAGCGATCGAGTGGTGGAGCTGCCGGGGGCGAGTGTTGTGGCGGCGCTGTTGTCGTACAGCTCCACCGACACGGAGCAACTGTTGGAGATGGTCACGGAGACCGACGCCTGCACAGTGGCGAAGTAGACGGAAAGCCCAGCCGCGGCCCGAGCGAAGCAAAACATCCGCTATTGGAGCTCTATGAGAAAATCGGCGGCGTATGATGGCGAAGGAGGGAGGAAAAACAAAGTGGGGCACGCGGGCTTTGGTCGCGCAGCGCGACTAACACTGTTACCGACATGCGTGCGGACCATGCGGTGGTGCTATTACAATGGATGTAGAAGCCGCGCTGGTAGTACATGTAGAGTCGAGAGACAGGTGGGGAGACAAAATTGGAGTTGCAACGTGCATGTTGCAGTGTGAACGAAAGGACGCGGACCAATCAGCGATTCGGAATTGTGATCACCCTTCCCAAGCAAATGTGACGCAGATATGTCCGTGGTAGTGATAAAGTGATCTCTGAAGACTTGAACAATTAGTCACCCAGCCTTATTTTGCCGACGGTTATAATAGCTAAGTGATAAGCATGTGCCATTAAAAAAATCCTTAGCTGACGGCGGAGATATATAAAGACTCTTTAGGAACGAGGTACCGTAGCCATTGCAAATTACATGTCTGTTCGAGGAGGTTAGGCTGCTGCATTGACCATGTTTCACGGGAACGCCAAGTACACTACACGTGTTTTATGTTCAAAACACTAATTAACAAACAAATTGAATCGATCCCAGCCTGTAGTTGTGTAACATGGCTAGTTCCACCCCTACGGCCACGGGCCTTGAGAGACCGGAGGCGCTCGCGCGCATGAACGCCGCCATCATGGGCGAGCGCAACCCTCGTGGCATCCCTTCCGCCGTCTTCGTCGTATGTTCTGCGCTTAACCCCTTAAAAAACACAGTGAACTAATACAAATGCCTTGTAGGACTCTGTCGACACCTTCATGAACGCGTGTGGCGTCAAGAACATCGAACCGCTTGTTGGAGCGCTGCAACAGATGTACAGCAAGTATAAATTCATGGAGACGAGTCTCCAGAAGAACCGCGAGACGTTTAAGCGCAAGATCCCGGATACCCAGAAGGATCTGGACATGGTGCGCCACCTTATTGCCAAGCGGGACGAGGGCGAGACGCTCCAGACGCAGTTTAATCTGTCGGACAATGTGTACGCCAAGGCCTCAGTAGACTGCAACGTGGGAAAGGTCTGCATCTGGCTGGGAGCTCAAGTCATGGTCGAGTATCCGTACGAGGAAGCTCAGGAGCTCCTGGAAAAGAACGTGGCTTCAGCCACGGAAAGACTGGTACGGAAAACTGGTGATTGAGGACATTCTGACTGAAAGCTCTAACGTTTTGCGGGTGCGTTTGGTGACTGTAGGGCCAGATTGAGGAGGATCTGTCGTTTTTGCGCGACCAGATCATCACGACCGAAGTCAACATTGCGCGCATATTTAACCACGACGTGCGCCGTCGTCGCCAGGAGAAGGACGACAAGCTGGTTGCTGAGCTAGAGGCCAAGTGAGAAGACGGCTCTACTTGAACTTCTCGTGTGCTGCAGCGGTAGTCCCTAGCGGTAGTAATTTTGCAAAAGCACGTATACTGATTACCACATGCTCTATTTTTTTACAGTAAAATTTAGCTCATGTGATGGTGTTTCCAATATTCATAAGATTCGTATTATTGAGCACTTACTACTGTAGCACTACATTAGTAAAAGCCAAATAAGCAAACAACGTCGTCTACGCCCCATTGGTGGTCGTTGACACCTTCATGCTCGGATTGACTTGGGAGTACTACTGAGTCAGTAGTACTGAGGACTCGTCGGTTAAAGTCTCTCGAGATCTGACGCCGAGCCTAAAAATTATCTGGTTTTTACTGCCCTGCGCTTCGCAGATCTCTTCAAACGCTCTCGCAGCGATCGAAGTAACTACAGCGCGATTTTATTTGTAGCGGGGACCGTCGTCGCCTCAACCAGTATCTTGTCAAGCTTTTCATCGCCAAAGCGCTGTCTAAGAAGCGATGTTACACTCACCTTCCCTTTCGTACGCCTGTTGTAAAAGTCGACGTACTTCAGCCAAGTGGCTAGCAGAGGACTCCTAAACAATTTGTCACCAGCTGCGCCCAGCTCCAAATTCATGAACGCTTCCGCCGGGTGGTATCTCTTGAGCCAGTCTCGATACTGTTCAGTATTTAATCGATACGCGATCTTCTGGGTTTTTGGTGACTCGGTCGCTTTCACAATCATCCTTGCCACCTGTGCAATCGAGTAATGCTCATCGATTGTCGCAATGGGATCCATACTTATCTTGGGGTACATCTCACGGAAATCGTCAGCGTACTTAATCCAGGCATCATAAATGGGGTTCGCAAGCAGATCATTGTCTGCTTTGTCCAGTCGTAGCAGGGTGAACAAGTCGTCAGGCATCCTCTCACTCTGCAGCCAGGACTTGGTCTGCTCGGCTTGTACTCGTTGCGCGAGTTTCTCTGTACTCGCAACGCCCTTCGCCTTGATCAGCATATTCACTAGTGCGCTTTCGTCGGGGATGAGCTCCGACATTTTGGCAGAGTCGTCTCCTGCTCTGGATACATTTTGTTGAAATCGTCCACGTATTTCACCCAAGTGAACATTTCAGGTTTTTCAAACAGATCGTATCTCCGAAAATCAAGTTTCAGCAGCCGAAAGACCTCGTCGGGGGTTTTCTCTTGAGTCAGCCAGCGCTGGATCAACTCGAATTCAAGGCGTTTGGCAAGCTTGGCAGTCTGTGGAACCGCCTTGGCCGCCTCAATGGCCTTGGCCAGACCATCGTACTCGAAGTGTGACGCGAGAGTTGTCACTAAACTCGTTTGTTTCTTTGGATTCTTCTTGTTGAAAAGCTTCATGTAGCCGATCCATGCTTGCAACTGCGGGTTTGCTAAAACCTTTTCGGCTGCAGTGTCAAGCGAAAATGCCTTAAAAACGTCGTCAGTTGACTTGGTCCCGCCCTTGAGTTAGAGTTTTAGTTGCTCACTTGAGATCTTTAAGGACTCTGTCACGGACTCCACTGTCGTGAAAGTGACACCCCTCTGTTCTTCATCGTCATTCTCGAGGGTTTCATGCGGCCCGAAAAGAATTCTGAAGGGGATGTCGAGCGACAGCGTGTCTGTCCTTAGGTGGACTGTCGCTCCTGTCGAGGTTGCCACGATTGAGACGATAGCTACAAGTACAACGCCCTGAAGATGACCGACTTCGCGCGATGAGGAACAACCCCCCCCAACCTCAACTTGGAAAACAAGGTCTGCATCTCACCTCATACTTTGCTGGCAGATTGAATACAATGTAGAGTTCCTATCACGGGATGGTGAAATAAACATATATATCCGGAATTACGACAAGACTCTCCATATCCTTAGCTAAAGGAATTTATCACTTTGCTGAGCGGGAAATCATGTACTTTTGCTCGTTAGATGTCTAAAACGTATTATAAAGTTATTAATATTAGAATAAAACAACAAATTAATTCCAGTACAAAGTACTGTATAAGTCAAATATGTAAGTCAGCTATTATAAGGTATTGAAAAATACCTGAAGTGACTCACTTGAAGTGAGCCACCAATCAAACCTTTGACGATTTAATGTGATTGGCGGAAATAAAGGTACAAGATTTCTTATCTTGTACCTTTATTACCGCAACAGAATCATCATATAATTTTTGGAGCATTTCCATAAATCAGTAATTGGGGTTATCACGGTTGGCTAAAAATCGGCCCCAGTGCGAAATTGATTTTTGGTCAAAGTCAAGTCAAATGTGGAACCTCATCAAGGTTTTTTCAATGAGACCTTTTGATGACATCCGTCCTAAAATAAACAGGCGTCTTTTAGAGATATGTTGTATAGATATAAAGGGGTTTCCAGGAAGTAAGCAAGAGTTATTATTGGTCATGGCGAGATTCATGTGATTTTCATGGGAAAGGGTCCGCTGAACGGCTCCGTTCAATGCCACGCGCAGTGATGAGACATTCGAATGAACAGATGGCTCTCACCATCGTACTATCAACTCACAAAAGGTCTCACAAAAGGTCTAAAATAACGAAATAACTCTACTGTGGCTATCGCGTACTACTGAAAAATATACTTATAGAGGTTGGAAATGTAACCGTTAAAAATGAAATGCTCCAAGTTTACCTACCTGGACTGCTATCTGGACTTCTTGTAGTTCGGCTAAAAGCGTGTTGCCATCAAGTATTTACTAACAATACAAGTATTAATACTTACAAGTTTCTTCGCGTAGTTTTTGCTATTTACATCTAGATTTATATCTAGGGCGCGAGAACTTCATTTTCTCACCATCATTTTTTCTAGCACTGTCGAAGTCAAAGTGTTAACCCAACGATTCTGAAGAGCAAACAAACATTTGGGAAATTAGAGTATATGTAACGGACGCGCCCTATTAGAGTCCGGACCATATTTAATAGTGCCGCCCGAAAGTGACAGAGAGGACTTTAAACGGGTGAGGACTTTATTCCTTGCTGAAATGATTCGTGTACCAGGTTAATATCGTCTAACGCATCATCTAACTCTGAAAGATTTAACAGATCGACGTCTGGTCAGCAAGTTTGTAATAGATTTGGTAGTTTTTTTTATAAGGACTCTATTCAGGAGGGGCTTGTATTTAATAGTGCAGGCATGCACAGGACACTATTCGGTAGGGGGCTTTTATTCGGGCGCATCCGTTAGCTGCTGCAGGTTAAGAATACGCTTGGTAAAAATAGCAGTTTATTTTGTTTTAATACGACGAAAAACCGCTTCAGGAAGCTATTTTATGTGAGTGCTGATGTAACGAATATTAAAGAGTGCAATAATATTTTCTTCTTGGACACAAACGATATTATTAGATATCAACTTTAAATTGGCTGATACGAAATTTTTTTTTTAAAGAATGCGTAATCGGTTTTAATCCACCAATAATATGTCGTCAAAGTTCGACTAGGTGAAGTATTTCTAATCAACAGTGATGGCAATGGAGTCCAGGGCAATTGTGAGAGTTACGGCAAAGTTTTATCTAGCGTCACAGGTTGCAGGTTGATGAGACGCCCGATCTGGACGAGGAAATCTACAGATAACAAGAGCGTTTCCACAGTCTTTAGGGGTCACACCAACAAATACATTAATGGGAGCTTATGCAATGACCATCAGCTCGATCCGAAAAGGGACGAGGAGACGCAGGTATTTCTTGGCTGCTTGCTTCTTGTTCCAAATACGAGGTGAGGGAACACGCCACGTGTGACCAGCAGCAAGCAGGGGAAGAGTATATACCGGTAGGTTTGCGGTATATCGAAGCTAAAAACTGATTTGGAAAACACAATTCCCTTACTTCGCTATGGAATACACCTTTCCACAGTCTTTAGGGTGACACGAACCAATTCATTAATGAGAGCTTATGCAATGACCATCAGCTCGATCCAAAAAGGCACGAGGAGAGCGGTGCCCCTTCAATGGTCATGCAATCGGCTCCACTAATGTAATGTCGAATCCCGCGATGGAGCTGCCACCATGTTTGCCGAAAGCGTGGTGACGGACTCCTTGCAGAGCCTGGTGTATGTCTTGTACGCGTCGGAAACCCAGCGAGCGTGGAGCTGGATTGTGAGTGCATCCGTGCCAGATCGGTACATGTGTGTAGCTCCACCGGCACGCAGGGAATGAGAACTGAGCCGGCGGGGGTCTTGGCCGGTGCGTTTGATGGCTCCGGACACGTCTTCGGTTGATACACAGGCTGGTCGGCCCCCGCGTGAGATGTACACAGCGGCTGGAATGTTTGTGGGGAGGCCTAGCTTGAAGGAGAATAACGCGCTCCGAACACGGGGCACAAAAACTGATGGCTAGAGCGAGATAACATTCTTGTCGTTGAAGCCCCACCTTGATATGTCTTGGACCCGGTCAGGCGAATCCAAACGGCCTGAGCCTGTGACGGGCGCTAAGGCGGCTGTCCAGCGGTATCCACAACCATGATGTCTTGAGCTCGGAGCGCGAACCACTTGAAGGATCCTCCCTGGATGGCCACGATCTCTGATCGCCTCAGAAGAAAGAAGAACGCCAAGCGCAGTCAGGCGAATCCAAACGGCCTGAGCCTGTGACGGGCGCTGAGTCGGCTGTCCAGCGGTATCCACAACCATGATGGCTTGAGCTCGGCGCGAACCACTTGAAGGATCCTCCCTGGATGGCCACGATCTCTGATCGTCTCAGAAGAAAGAAGAACGCCAAGCACACTACCCCCCCCCCTCCCCCCCTAGGGCTTGGTCACGGGGATGACCCATGGCCAAGCCGCGAAAGTAGGCTTCTAATAGGTCGCCTGACACGGGTGCCTTACGACGTCGCGGTGTGTCGAGACGGCTTATTCCCTTAAGAAGCATACGGACGTGCGGGTGGTCAAGCGGAAACACGTATCCTGAGGCTGGGGAAAAATGGCGAACGCCATGAAGCACCGCCATGATGAAGTCGCTCCGGATGGGGACACCGGACCCGAAGCCAAATTGAAATCCATGTAA